GTTAGTGTGCACAGAAAGAAAAGAAGAAACAGTATTCCAAGTAAAACACCCAAAATTACCCATCCCCTCATAGGCAAATGACCAGCCATTTAGGGGTGGTCCAAAGTGAGATACTGAGGACTGAAAGGTCGAGCAAGTCTTAGGCAAGTCTTGGTAGGGAATCATAGGAAAGGGACAGAAGGGGCCAGGCAAGTCTGGGAGGAGAGAAGCAAAAAAGCAAAGTACAAATCAAGATAAAGGCTGCCACTGCCAGCCTCCCCATGTGTCTGTCACCCACGTGTCTCTTCCAAGTGTCTCTTCCATGTCTCTCCCCCTGTGTCTCCTCCCAGTTCCCCAAGTCCGTGGTGCAAGTCCAAAGTGAATGTGTTTTTACTGTATTGAAAGCATATTAGAGCCAAAGTTGAAAGAGAGGAAAGGATCTCAAATATGCAGAGGCCAATAGAAATATGGGGCGAGAGCTTGGGAGAAAAGTTAAGAAATCTCTGCTACAGATAGTACATGACTATAGCAGGGAAAACACAGCTCTAGCAAGAAAGAGTGGAGTGGGAAGGAGGAGGAGGAAGAGCAAAGAGGAGGTGGGGAGTGTCAAAGACAGCCTCTGGGAAATACAATGAGAGCAGAGCAAACAAAATCACCTAAGGAAGAACAGGCTCTCAAGTCAGGAAAAGCACTTCATCTCATTAGATACTCAACAACCCCATGAAAAAGACAAGGTCAGTGCGGTGACTCTCACTGAGCAAGGAGGAAGCTGGAGCTCAGAGGGACAGAGGCTAGCAGCAGTTCCAAATATAGGCTGTGCCATCCGCGGCAGCAGAACACACTCGGGTCTTATCTGGACTCAAAGCCAAGTGCAGCACTCTGCCTCTGTGGCCTGGAGGAAGAAGGAGAAACAGTTCATGATGCCCGTTATGAGGGCCATGGTTGAGGAGGAGCAAACTAAAGTGTGATCAGAAATCACATCCCAGGATTAGGGATTTTGGGGAAACCTGCCACCTTCAGAGCTGGTGCCCCTACTGTGCCTCTGCTGAGGTAACAGCAGTCAGGGCTGACTGGGAAAGATCCTGAATGGCTGAGGTTTTGTTTCAATGTCTCCTTTCTTTTTTTTTTTTCTCTTTTTTTTTTTTTTTTTTTTTATAAATTATTGTTATATTCCCATACATGGCCCCCATTACCATCCCTCCCCCCCATTCACCCCAATCCCCCCCTCCCCCACCCCCCTAACAGTGTTCCTTTATTTTATTTTGGTTCATAGTTTTGATTTTGATTTCACTTCTATAGTTATTCATTTTCCTGGTCCCTTATTTAAGTTTTCTAGATTCCTGCTATGAGTGAGACCATCCGGTATTTTTCTTTTTCTTTTTGGCTAATTTCGCTGAGCATGATCCCTTCCAGCGCCATCCATGTTGCTGCAAATTGCATGTGTTTATCTTTTTTGAATGCTGAGTAATATTCCATGGTATATATGTACCACATCTTCTTGATCCAGTCATCTATTTTTGGGCATTTGGGTTGTTTCCAAAGCTTAGCTATTGTAAACAGTGCTGCTATAAACATAGGGGTGCAGGTGTTCTTTGGAATTGATGTTTCTGTGTCCTTTGGGTAAATACCTAGGAGTGGAATTGCTGGATCATATGGAAGCTCTATGTTTAGTAGGTCCAGAAATCTCCACACAGCTCTCCACAGTGGTTGGACCAGTTTGCACTCCCACCAACAGTGCAGAAGAGTTCCTTTTTCTCCACACCCTCGCCAGCATTTGTTGTTGCTAGTTTTTTAATATGTGCCATTCTCACTGGTGTAAGATGGTATCTCATGGTAGTTTTGATTTGCATTTCCCTGATGGCAAGTGATGTTGAACATTTTTTCATATGCCTGTTGGCCATTTGCATTTCCTCTTCAGAGAAGTTTCTTTTTAGCTCTTCTGCCCATTTTTTGACTGGATTATTTTCTTTGTTGTTGCTGAGTCTCATCAGCTCTTTGCAGATTTTTGTGATCAGTCCTTTATCATTAGTGTTGGGTGCAAAAATGTTTCTCAGTTGGTGGGGTTTCTCTTTGTTTTTGTTATTGTCTCTTTTGCTGTGCAGAAGCTCTTTAATTTGATGTAGTCCCAGCTGTTTATCTTTGCCTTCACTATCACTGCTTTGGGTGATGTGTCTGTAAAGATGTCTTTGATGTGCAGATCACGTAGTGTTTCGCCTATATTTCCTTCTATATATTTTATGGTTTCAGGTCTTATGTCTAGTTCTTTAATCCATTTTGAGTTGATTTTTGTGTATGGTGTGAGGTAGTGGTCAAGCTTCATTCTTTTGCATGTAGCGACCCAGTTTTCCCAGCACCATTTATTGAACAAACTTTCTTTGCTCCAATGCATAGTCTTTGCTCCTTTGTCAAAGATTAGTTGACCATAAATCTGTGGATTTATTTCTGGATTTCTATTCGATTCCATTGGTCTGTATGTCTGTTCTTGTTCCAATACCATGCAGTTTTGATGATTATGGCTTTGTAGTATAGTTTGAAGTCTGGGAGTGTAATGCCTCCATTCCCTTCTTTTTTTTTCAGGAGAGCTTTGGCTATTCGGGGTTTTTGTGATTCCATATGAATTTCATCAATAATTTTTCTATTTCTTTGAAGAATGACATTGAAATTTTGATTGGAATAGCATTGAATCTGTATATTGCTTTTGGAAGGATGGCCATTTTAATAATGTTTATTCTTCCAATCCACGAGCAGGGGATGTCTCTCCATTTCTTTGTGTCTTCTTCTATTTCTTTTAACAGTGTTTTATAGTTTTCTTTGTATAGGTCCTTTATCTCTTTGTTAGATTTATTCCCAAATATTTGATTTTTTTTTGTTCAATAACAAAAGGGATGGTTTTTTTGATTTCTTCTTCTTCAGATTTATTGTTTGTGTATAGGAAGGCTACTGACTTTTGCATGTTGATTTTGTATCCTGCCACTTTACTGAACTGATTGATGAGTTGAATTAGCTTTTCTGTGGAGTTTTTGGGGTTCTCTATGTATAATATCAATTCGTCTGCAAATAGTGATAGTTTGACTTCTTCTTTTCCTATTTGGATTCCTTGGATGTCTTTTCTTTGTCTTATTGCCCTGGCTAGGACTTCCAGTATTATATTGAAAAGCAGTGGTGAGAGTGGACATCCTTGTCTTGTTCCAGATCTTAATGGAATTGCTTTCAGCTTTTCACCATTGAGAATGATGCTGGCTGTTGGCTTGTCATAGATGGCCTTTATGATGTTGAGGTATGTTCCTTGTATCCCAAGAATTTCAAGGGATTTTATCATGAATGGGTGTTGCACTTTGTCGAAAGCTTTCTCAGCATCTATTGATATTATCATATGGTTTTTATATTTCTTTTTGTTGATGTGTTGGATAACGTTGATTGATTTTCGGATGTTAAACCATCCTTGTGCCCCTGGAATGAATCCTACTTGGTTGTGGTGAATTATCTTATGGATACTCAATGTCTCCTTTCTAGACTATTTCTCTTGGCTGCCAACCAATTACCACAAACTCTGTGAGTTGGAACAATGAAATGTCTTCTCTCTCTGTTCAGGAGACCAGAAGCCCCAAATCAAGGAGCGCCAGCTACAGCTCCCTCTGGAGATTCGTTCCTTGTCTCATCTAGGCAGCCACTGGCAGTCTTGACTTGCGGCCACATTACCCCTGTCTCGGCCTCTGTGGTCACATCACCTCTTTTTCTGCGTGTCTGTTCTCTTCTGTATGTCTCTTATAAGAGTTTGTGACCACCTGGATAATCCCGGATAATCTCATTTCAAGTTCCTTAATTAATCAGCAAAGTCCCTTTTTCCAAATAAGGTCACATTCACAGGATCCAGGGGATTGACATGGATCACTTTAGGGAAACTTTCCTAGCCCATGACATGCCATGTAGCCCATACTATTATTATTCTATCTTCCCTAATTTACCCAGGAATTGCCATTTTTCTGTTCCTACCACTCACCCCATTCTTCATATTAGCCCCCAAAAGTCATCCCCTTTGGACCTAGGTTTCAAGAAACAAATCAAATAAATAGATGTATCTTAGCAGGACACACCCACAAAGCATACATGAATTCTTACTTTTGGAATTCTAGAAGCAACACTCCTTTCTTTTATACAACTAATCACTTCCAAAGAACATTCTGTGAACAGTTGTTCTATATGAGTTGAATGGGTGTGAAAAATAAAGTGTTTAATGTTCACATTAATTTGGGAGGTCCAGGTTAAGAAAATTAAGCAGGATTCCTTATGTCAGAGTTATTTCTAGACTGCTATGTGCATTATAAATATTTGGGATAAGAAGCTATAATAGGCAGCATTTCTGAAACCAATTTGACCAGAGTCCTTCTGACCTAAGTATCTCAAGCAATTTCAAGTTTTTGGTGGGACAAAGGTGACAATTGTAAATTATCTCTCTGCTGCAGTCAGAAAACTGGAATTTTCCCCAGAGAATCATCACTGTAAAACTTAGCAAAGATGTGACTATGATCTAGAATAATTTTTCAAACTGTTGCCACTACCCAGTATCAAATACAAGAGCTACCTGTATTTTATTGTAGCAACACCATACACAGACACATATGTGTGTTGATGACCATAACAAAGCTTCACAAAATAGTACCAACGTTCTCATTTATTCCATTTTATTTCATTTTTTTAAGGCTGATCTTGATTCATTACATCCAGGACCAAATAGGTCAAACCCAGTTTTTTAAAGATTTATTTATTTATCCAAGAACTGGGGTACAGTCAGAGTTGCAGGAGAGTGAGAGAATTCACCAGAGATAGAATGGGGAGCAGAACAGGCAGACTGACCGAAGACACTGCTGAGGGGAGCAGCAGATGAAGCAGGAGAGGTCTGCTGTGCCATGTGGGTTTCTCCCTGGCTGGCCAGGAATTGAACCTGCACTGCAGAGACTGTGGACAGCTTCACAGTGCAGTGCTCAACATGCTGCCCCACCAGGGAGGCCCTGGAGTCATAATTTTATGAAGAACAGGGTTTTAAGACTTGATTTAATTGGAATGTTACAGAGAAGATTAGCATGGCCCCTGCGCAAGGATGACACGCAAACTCGTGAAGCGTTCCATATTTTTTAGCCAAGCTTTGGAAACAACCCAAATGCCCAAAAATAGATGACTGGATCAAGAAGATGTGGTACATATACACCATGGACTATTACTCAGCATTCAAAAAAGATAAACACATGCAATTTGCAGCAACATGGATGGCGCTGGAAGGGATCATGCTCAGCGAAATAAGCCAGAAAGAAAAAGAAAAATACCAGATGGTCTCACTCTCACAGGAATCTAGAAAACTTAAATAAGGGACCAGAAAAAGAATAACTGTAAGAAAGTAAAAATCAAGATCAACAAAAACTATGAACCAGAGACACTCTATGGGGGTGGGCGGAGGGGAAAGGAGGGATTGGGGTCAAAATAAGGGGGTTGCAATTGTATGGGGAATAAAAATAAAATTTATAAAAAAAAGACTTGATTTAAACTATTTCTCTAATCTTAGAAGGTCCTCTAATTGAATATATTAGGATTAAAAATATGCAAATGATCAATTCTCATTGCTCCTATGCTCATGCCTGAACCACAAAGTGGCTTTTCAAGAGCTGCCTGTATTTTATTTACCAAATCACACAGTGTAACAGCTAATGGATATAAAAGCCAAACAGAGGCCCAGCCAGCTTGACAGCAGAAGCTGTACTGTGTTGGTTTTTTTTTTTTTTTTTTTTTTTTTTTTTTTTAATTTTTTTTTTTTTTTTTTTTTATAGAGACATGCTTTATTTATTTGTTTGCTGGTTTGTTTTGTTTTGTTTTGTTTTATACATGCACTGGGTACAGTCAGAAGCGCGGGAGGGTGAGAGAATTCACCAGAGCCAGAGCGGGGAGCAGAGCAGGCAGAAGGACTGAAGTACACTGCTGAGGGGAGCAGCGGGCGGCAGGAGAGGTCTGCACGCCATGTGGGACCCTCCTCTGGTGGCCGGGGAGCAGCCGGGGATCGAACCGGCGCCGCAGAGGCCGCGGGCAGCTTCGCAACCCAGCGCTCAACCTCTGCGCCACCGGGGAGGCCCTGTTGGTTTTTTTTTAGTTTTGGTTTTCTGTCTGTCTCCTCTCACATAAGAATAGGCTCCATGAGGACAGGAATATTGTCTGTCTTACTCACCTGTCTATACACCCAGTACTCCAAAAAAGTGCCTGCCACATCATCCATGCACTATCAATTTTAAATGATGAAGAATCTTAGTCCAATTCAGAAGCACTCCATCCATACACCTAAGGTATGGTGGGTATAGGTCTTTTTCTTCAGAAGATATATATGCTTCAGATAACCAGAAGGAGAAACTCTTCCATTCCAGCATTTCCTGCCAATCACAGGTCATTTTATTATCTATGTCATTTATTTCACTCACTTATCAATACTGACCAAAAATCCACCCGATCTGGCCAAAGCAGGACAGGCCCACATAGTCACGTCACTCTGAGGAGTGCCTTGACCAGTTGCAATCTCCCTTGTCTTTGGTAGCCAAATTAGGGAACAAATCTGTAATAATGACCAAAAAAAAAAAAATACCAGAATCATGTCCATTTCTGATTCATTATAAATGCGTTTTAAACTTAGTCTAAGTCTGTCTCCACCCATCCTCTAGAGCACAGCCGGGGTTAAGATGAAAGAATAATTACATTAATTCTAGCAACAAAGACTAAATGTATAAATAGGCTGAAGTGCAATTAAGGTATAAACTTAAATGGACTAATGTCATTGGCCATGGGTAGCCAGACTGCTCTCAAGTTTCACAGTCAAAGCAGTGCCAAAAGAAAGGAAATGTGAAAAAAAGAAAACAAATTAAATTCACTTTTCATTTGTACACAAAGAGGTCTTACCAAAAAGTGGCTCAGCTTTTAAGAACTGAAACTCCTGTGGATTCAGGAGATAGACTGAGACATGTTTGGGTCCTGTGCTCTCTCATTAATTATCTTCACAAGATTCTGATCAAAATAAAGGTGAACTTCAGAAGAGACATTTACCTGTGAGTTGGTGGTTGGGGTCTGGATGCTTTTTCCAGTATTTATGTCCAAGATGTGTAAACGTCCATCCTTCAATCCTCCTCCAATAGCAGAACTGCAGACTGCCAGGGGCACCAATCCATGGCCTTGAAAGTTGCAAATCGTCACATAGGCAGGTCAACTTAGAGAAGGTGAAGTTGCGACTGAGCTGCTCTGTGGTAACTGAAATCCCAGATGTCTGCACCCAGCATAGCTCTCTCTCCTGGGTCTCCAACCAAAGACAGAAGCAACTGCCTCTTCAGAAATTACTTCTTGGAGACTAAATCACTTCTGAAGGAGAAGGCACCTCAACAGGGCTCTTCCTCAAATTATGGTAACAATTCCAAATGTTTTCAACACAGAAAATCCATATAACCAATATAGATGAAAAACTACATTCAACACATTCTAAACAAATGGTGTCGAGAAACTGAATTTCCACATGCGAAAGAATGAACAATACCACTATCTAACACAAACACAAAAATGAATCTAAATGGATTAAAGGCTAGATGACGAACTGAACCATAAAAGCCCCAAAACTGGAGAAGCTTAAGAGGGAAAAATGCCTGACTGGCAACAGCTGCTATCGCCCCAGCAAATTTAGCTTCAGTCGCTTCTGACTACACTAAAATTATTAGTAATCACGTTCTTAAATACCTGACTTCTAAATTACCTTTTCCCAAGCTGTCTGGACAAAACTAGAAGCTCCATCATGAGCAGAAGTATACAGAAGTCAAACTCTAAAGGCCATTCCTGCTTTATTCAGTTGGTTAGTGGTGGGGATTGTGAAGAGACTCACACTAGTGATAGTTTTGCAATTCTCAGGTATTAACTGCCATAAGGCTTGGAGAGAGGTCCCAAAATCTCTCTTAGTTCAATACATTGTATTTCTGTCAACAAGGTCTAAGACAAGTTTGTTTGACTTGGGTTTTCATATTAGTTGATTTTGCTTTACTTTGCTATTTAGTATTTTCTTTGCAGGCAGCATGTTTTACATATATTTTTCCTAGATTTTTTTCAAGTCATTAGTAATGGGAATTGATCTAAAATCATTCTCAATGTTTTATAGACATAAAAACTACATTACCAGAGTTATTGGGCCAGCACTCTACAGTAGCAGCAAGAACTA